GTTCTTCCTCGGGTTCAGCTGGAACTTCCCAGGCTTCAGTTTGTGCCCATTGCCCCTTGTCCTGTCGCTGGGCACCACTGGAAAGAGCTTGGCCCCGTCCTCCTGACCCCCACCCTGCAGATATTTGTAAGTTCCGTTGCAAGGCTGAATCCACCACACGCATCCTAAACACACGAAAACCCCCGTTACCCTCCACGGTGCAAAGGCTCTGTCATTCTGAGCTGTAATTAAGCAAATCAGGGATAGGCTTAATTGCAGCAGCTTGCCAAATTAGAGCCTTCTTGACTGCTCTGGCCCTTGGAAGAGGATTGTTTCTTCTCCGTCTTTAGTGGCAGGGGGGGGCCTAGCGGAGGAGGTTGCAAACTTGACGATGTGTAAGCAAATGGGCTGCTTCTTGAGCACCACTGTTACACGGCGTGGGGATGAAGCCAAGGTGCGAGAGGCAGAGGAAGGTTGCCCATGGTCAAGGAGCATCCCGACCCACTCCGGGACCCGCTGCCCAGCTTTATTCCCCTTGCAGGCGTTGGATGGCTTCTTCTTCGTTGTGAACCGCGAAGGGAGGATCGTCTTCGTCTCCGAGAACGTGACCAGCTACCTGGGTTATAACCAGGAGGAGCTCATGAACACCAGTGTCTACAGCATCCTGCACGTTGGGGATCACGCTGAGTTCGTGAAGAACTTGTTGCCCAAGTCTTTAGGTAAGAAAACCCTTGAGGTGGAGCATTTTTATCAGCTGGTGCTTGGAGAGCGCTGTTGAAAATGCTGTTGTCTTCAATGTTGTGTCTTCAATGAAGCTGGCCTCATATTGTTTTTTCTATATATTATTGTTTTTAGACTGTTTACTGTGAAATTCAGAGAGATACCCAAGCCAGGTACTGATCCATAAACCTTTGCCTGGTGAAATACATCATACCAGTGAAAAATCAATATTAGATTTTTGAATAAATAGCTGGTGGATCACAGAATCACAGAATGTTCGGGGTGGGCAGGGACCTCTGTGGGTCACCCAGCCCACCCCCCTGCCCAAGCAGGGTCACCCAGAGCAGGGGGCACAGCACCGTGGCCAGGCAGGGCTGGAAAATCTCCAGAGAAGGAGACTCCACAGCCCCTCTGGGCAGCCTGGGCCAGGGCTCCGTCACCCTCAGAGGGAAGAAGTTCTTCCTCGTGTTCAGCTGGAGCTTCCTCTGCTTCAGTTTGTGCCCGTTGCCCCTTGTCCTGTCACTGGGCACCACT